GCCAGGGATTGAACCACCAACCTTCCAATTAACAGACCTGTTTTACTTCCTGAGCTGCTACCCCAGGTATTTTAGCCTTTGAAAAATTCAAATTTTGAAAAATTCTGAAATAAAGATCTACTGAAAATGCTTAACTCAGCATACCGTAATTGTGCTTCATAACTTTATCAGAAATTGTATCAGATCAAACATTATTCAGAAACAGTCAGTTTCATCTTTATTCACTATGTTGCCATAAGTATTTGCTCATCTACCTTCACACTCATATGAACTTGAGTGACATCTCATACTTAATCCACTCAGTTCAATATGATGTCGGCCCAGCCTTTGCAGCTTTAACAGCTTCAGCTAGAGTACTTTAAACCACTGCCTCTGATGCTTTGCATTGTGCTTGGTGATGTAAGGCTCAGATGCAGCTGCTTGGCCGTGGAAATCCATTCCATGAAACTCTCGACACACTGTTCTTGGGCTAATCTCTAATATCTTTATCCTTCAAGAGAGGCCTGGGAGGGTGCTGCACAATATCTCTGTTGTTCCTAGGACTGTGCTCTTCTGGACAGAGATCTCAGATGATATTCCTAGGCTGCAGCCACTCCCCCAGTGTGGGAGTCACTGCCTCCAGTGCTCTGATTAGCACTGGGAACACTGTAGCCTTCACCCTCCACTCCAGCTTCATCCAGCCACTGGTAGGACTGGCCTGTGTATGTCTATGTGTTTGCAAATTTGTATTTCTTAATATAGCATATACATTATCTGAACTCTTCATTCCTGTCAGTTCAGCATGAAAGTCATAGGTTGTTGAATATTGATGTTTTTTACAGTAATACTAGTTTCTCTCCTCCTCTCAGTCTTAGTGGATCTCCTTTTATTGCTCCCCATACACAGTTGTATGTGGAGCTGAAGGCTCCATGATTATTAACATTTATCTGTTTTGAAAGAAGATTTATTATAAATCTGAATTCTTCTGATTTTCATATTTCTCATCTTCCTGTGAATGCGATGTTACATTTTCCATTAGTATTTATTTCACTTGTCATGCTCATCCCACATTGTGCGTACATAACTTCGCAGTCACCAAAATTCGTATCAGTGAAGGAATTTTTATCATATCACCACTAAATACAGGATAAAGAAGCTGAAAAAGCGCCACAGTCCTGGTGTTTGCTAGTATTAATAATAATGGAGGTGGCATTATATTACACATTGTCACCAAGCAACCAGGAGCATGCTAGTCATTTCTTTGTACATTCACAAGGTCTTTGCACTGGGAATGTAAAGTTCAGACTGTCAGTTTTACAGTGTAATGCTCTGTGGCATCTGAGGGAGAACATTCAACAGAAATAGCCAAACTGCTGCTCATGCCAGTGTGCAAATGCATGCTTGCACACAGCACATTCAAAAGGCAGCAGGCATACCAACATAACTGTCGCTCACCACCCACCCTACTTCCCAGATTTGTCTTTTCCAACTTGGTCTGCTTCCCCAACATTCACGTTCAATTTTCCCTGTTTTGACACAATGGAGGTGATCTAGCATGCATCAAGAAGGCACCAACACAAGGGGATGGAGTGGGACTTGCATGGAAGAATCTAAAAATCATCTCAGTGTAGAGGTCCAGAGATAACTTTAAAGGGTGAGGAAGAAGTTAAATCCGTTCAGTTTTTGATTTTTCATCCGTGGATATGATCACATCATAGATGAAAGACACAACAAGCCTGCTTGTAATTAAACGATTTGTTGGCCGATACAAATGACTCCTAACCAGATTTACCTTTACTTAATATGATGTCATTTGATTGTTTAAAAAATGTAAATCAAAATGTATTTATTATTTTCTCATTAAAACTAAATACTTTTGCAGGCCCAACACATACATACTAGTAAGCAGGGCGGTAGGCAAAAGAAATGGAAAAAGCATATATATTCTTAATACAGAAACTGGATGGAAAAAAAAATTGACATATTAATGTGGTTTCTCACAGTGTATGATCTTACAAGGTGGCTCTAACACAGTCACAGTACGACCTTACCATTTGTGACCCAAATACTGAGACGGCAACAAACTTCTGTGGGCCTGAATACATCCTGCACAATATAGACACTTACTTTAAGGATAAAGGTAAACCACGGTAGCCATTTCCTTGGGCGCTAGGTGTTGGCTGTGTCTGGACCTGGCAGTGCTTCTACCTAAAGCTTGAGAGCAGAACACATCCAGCAGCTGCTTGTCTGTCTGTTCTGTCTACCGGCGACAACGCATGCAAACTTGCCTGCCAAGTATGTAGAATCACAGTCGGAATGCTTCAGTCTGTATTTCACAGTCCAGTAATCTATCCTATTGTTTACTGCCATTCCTCCTTTGCGCCTCGTCCAACTTTGAATCGGACCAGTCAGATGTGGGAGGCCAGCCTCTATAGTTGGATTAGTTAAGGCTTACACCACAAGTAAATATTTAGTGTTAATTTTGTTTGTGATTTATCATAAAGGCACCCACGAAGACGAACTGCAGCTCTGAATATAAAATCAGTGTTTACTCCAAAGATGGGTCTTATTTCCCCTTGATATAAGCTGCAAACATATAATTTAATGTAGAATCCTTTCCTTGATTTATTCTTCATATACTTTTGAAAAGATTGAATAATTAAATGCACACATTTCCCCATGAGCATCTGTGCTTTAAAAGCAGCACTGGATATAAATTTAGAAGAAGCTTTTAAATGTGCCTGCACGCACAAACACCCACCGATCTACCCACACGCATGCACACACAAATTCCCATATAATGTATTTTTTTCTTATGTTGCGATGCTATTATTTCCCCATTCCTGCATTACAATGTGCTGTCTTGAAAACAACAAACTACCCGACATCTTGCTGTGCACAAACCACAGCTTCCTTCTCTTGCTTTTCATCTTTGTGAAATGGGATACAGCTCCTGCTCATTTGTCCAGCATCTTTTTGCCAAAGATCTCTGAAACAGAGTGGAGAGGGTCCCACAGGACTGTCTAGAAGAGAGAAGAGCTCAGCCAAAAGCAGGTATACTCTGCCTGCCATAACTTTGGGGAAGGCTCTGAAGTGGTAATGGCCACGCTGTATTCTGCAGACACTGTAGATGTGCTATAGAAGATTAGGCTCTGTACTAATTATAAACAGTGAAATGCTGCCAGCAATTTATTGCTTTGATTGTAAAACCCTGCAAAGGCAATATGACGAGAAGAAGCTACCTAAAGAATGTTATCATGCTTCTTAGACGTCTTGCGGCGTACTGTGTTTATATGGTCTCTCTTACCTTAAAGCTACACAGCCTGATACACATAAAAATAGTTTGTGTATCGGTAAGCCCAAATTATTAGGTTATTGCTAGGCTTCACATGACTTCAGCTTCCTGAACAGAAATGCTTGTAATTAATAATTACAAACAACCATCTATGTTATGACTGAAAACATGTGGTGGCTTATACTAACTGAAACCACTGTATCATAAGGGGGCTTGCCATCAAGCAAACCCCTTTGTAGGATTTCTGAACAGACTGAGGAGGACTTATCTGCTGTAATCCTGACCGAGGCACCATGATGATGATGGTACCAAAATAAAGCTACCCTTAATTTGACAAAGTGTAAAATAAATTATAAGAATTTTACACTTTTGTTTCAGGAACATGAGAGTTCAGATTGATACAGCACGGTCAAATGATGTGTTGAATAATGCTAGTCATTTGTCACATGATTTATGTGATGATGATGGTGATGAGATGATAAATACTTTATCATCCCATATTTAGGAGGCTCTTTTGTCACAGCTGTTGAAATGATGATGAAATAATAATAATATGTGGCAGAGGCCTTTCTACTAGATACATAATAGTTTAGCAAAAGATAGTATTTGGTATGAAAGATTTCCTCTTTCTGTTCTTGTACAGCTGAGCTGAATCAGTCTTTTTGAGAAGGTGCTCCACTACCTGTCCGGTAAGTGGTATAGAGGGTGGTCAGGATTATTCATGATGCATAACAGTTTGTTCAGTGACTTTCTCTTCACCAAAACTTCACATGTGTCCCGTCTGCAGCCAATCACAGAGCCAGCCTTCATTTTATTCAGTCTGTTGGTGTCACAACACACTGCTGCTCCCCCAGCAGACCCAGCAAAGCACACTGCACTCACAAATGACCACTAGAAAACGTTTAACATTTAACTGCAAACACACTGAAGTATTCCATCTTCTTTAGTAAAAAAGAGAATCTGCCCATCCTCTTCTTGTATGTTGATCTCTCAGTTCAGCCTGCTGTGCAGACAACCAGGTATTTGTACTCCACCACCACATCAACATCCTAGCTCAGCATGTAGCCATCCTCTTCCTTCTCAACTCAATCAACATCTCTCTGGTTTTAAGAAGCAGAGAAGTTCTTCCAGACCGCTCCACAAAATCATCCAGTAGTGCTCCGTCCTCCTCCTGCAAATACATCTAACTAAACTATTAGTTGTACTGAAATCAGCAGCTTTTTTTTTTTTCATTTGAAATGTAGTATTACAGTCATACTACTGTTACTTTTACTGTATCGAAGCATTTTCATAATCCAAACAGTAACGTTTTAACTGACACAGTAAATAGTTTTATCAAAAAACTGCAACATCTATATAAGTATCCACTGTCAGGTATCACCTGGACTGGAGTTATTCCTTATGTCTTTATCTTGTCCTTTATAAGAAAGGAAAAACTAACATTTTCTCCAGAAATAATCATACAGTCAAAATGAAGCAGTTAATTGTATGTTGCACATGGTTAAAATGTTGATAACCCTCATAATTATTATACTAGTCAGTGCCATGGAAATATCACTAACGCGTGCAGATATGACAGTGCAGAAGGCGCTGTTTCTCTCTCCGACACTTTAGTTTTTAGAAGCTCACGTGTACCACCTTTCACCTGACAGCGAAGGCAACACGGCATGGCCGAGGTTTGCTTGTGGGAATTGTAGTCTGATTTGCTTGAGCCCTTCGTTGTGACGTGCCAGGCGAAACTACAAGTCCCAGATTGTTTAAGGCGGAAATAGCGAGACAAAACACGGCTAGGCTACAGCACAACACGGCAGAGAAGATGTCGCGTGTTGTTAAAAAGAGAAAACTGGACGAAATCCGACAGGATAGGCTTTATTTTGACAGCTATTCCGATGTGACTATCCACGAGGAAATGATAGCGGACCACGTCCGAACCAACACGTACCGGACGGCGATACTGAAGAACAGTGAGTCAGTTCGGGGTAAAGTTGTTCTGGACGTCGGGGCAGGAACCGGCGTTTTGAGCATCTTCTGTGCTCAGGCTGGAGCTAAAAAGGTGTACGCCGTGGAGGCCTGCTCAATAGCGGATCAAGCCCAGATAACAGTCAAACACAACAACATGGAGGACAGAATTGAAGTCATTCGAGGAACAGTGGAGACGGTGGACCTGCCGGAGACCGTGGACGTGATAGTGAGCGAGTGGATGGGTTATGCCCTCCTGCACGAGTCCATGCTCAACTCGGTCCTCTATGCACGCGACAAGTGGCTGAAGCCGGACGGCATCATTCTGCCGAGCAAAGCCGAACTCTACATCACACCTGTTATTGACCCGGTGGTGGAGGACCGCCTGCATTTCTGGTACACAGTCAAAGACCAGTACGGAGTGGACATGTCCTGCATGTCCGGCTTCGCCCGGAAATGTATCATGAACTCAGACATCACTGTTAGCTCTGTGACCTGCGAGGATGTTCTCTCCCACCCGGCCCGCTTCGCCGAGCTCGACCTGCACTCGGTCACCCCGGAGGAGCTGCGGTCCGTGAAGGGCCAGTTCAGGTGCGAGTCGTTCGGCTCGTCGGCAGTGAACGCATTCTGTGTTTATTTCACGGTGACTTTCCCGTGCCCGGATAGCACGGCTCCCCTCGTTCTCTCCACGTCTCCGTGCAAACCAGAGACACACTGGAAGCAAGCGGTGCTGTACCTGGACGCTCCGGTGGAAGTGGTGCAGGACACACCGATTACTGGAGAGGTTAGAATGTATCCCTCAGAGGAAAACGCCAGGCATATATGTATCCACGTGGACTACTCTATAGGAGAGCAGAAGCGACAGTCCAAGACTTTTTCCATCCCTGATTGGAGCTCTGAGGCTCAGCCATAGCGTGCCATCAACACCAAAATGCACTTCATTCACCATGTGTCACACCTGTATGCCCAAGTCCTCTTATTGTGTCATGGTTATCCATGGCTCTTAAAATTCCTGGGAAAGTGGTGTCACTTTATAATATATTGGCAAAAATATAAGATCACAGTAGGCCTCCCCAGCAAATGAATGGACAGCTGCAGATTAAGACACAGAATAAAGATTGGCCAAGGAATTTAACCTTTTTGTGCATGTGCATGTCTAAAAAGTAAAAGCACACTTTCTTTATTTAGTGTTTGGTTTTAATTTTGTGTGTTTGATTAGTTCTTTTACAATTCATTAATTGATTGAATCATTCATGAAATAGCCCCTGAAATACAAAAGGAAAACAGCCTGTTTATGCCCACATCTTCAAATGTCTTGTTTTTCTTGTCTTAGTAGAAAACACCTTCAAAAATTAGTTGTTTATCAATATGTTTAAGATGATTTAAAAGTTTTGATACATCAGTGTGTACTAGGAAGAAACCTTCAGAAAGTCTGGCTAAAAGAAGAGTTTGAGGTGAATTTGTAGCTGCTTGTAATCAGTCGCTCTGAGGCAGGTTTATAAAATGTTAAATAAATTCAACACCATGCTGCAGGCATCTGATATTCTGATAAACTCGGCCATTTATATTGTGTGGAATCTCATCAAAATTCTGCATTCAAATGAGCATCAGACCAATATATTGACTTGGACTAGCTGCAGTCAGGCAGGAGGCTGCATCCTACATGACTTTGGCTGCTGTTCAGTTACTTTTTAATGAAGTACCAAATTGGCTCATTATTTTGGTTTAAAACTAGGCTGCACTGTCATCTGTTGATAGAAAACACCAGCCTAATAAAAACTTATAATTCTACTAAAGCATTCTACATAAAAAAGCACAAGATATCTTGCCAGTATACCTGTTTTTGAACAGTTTGAAATGATAGTTTTATAAACTTTACCAGGCAGGAGTTTCAAAAAGTAACTTATTTATTGACTGAAGAAAGAAAAAAGTCATCTGTTTATGTCGGAGTTTGCAGTGCTTGTTTTCAGGTATAATGCAAAACTTTGATTAGTGGGCCAGAATCAGATTTAGAGAAAAGATTCATTTGTTCTTAATTTGTGGGTCTCAGTCCTTTTTCAAGAACTGTATTGCATTCAATCACGACACACACCACTCACCTTAACACTGCTGAACAACGACAGTTCTTAGCAACGACACTCCAGAATGGGGTAGCTCCCTTCAGCAGAACAAAGTGCCCCGCTGCTGTGCTAAAGAGAAAAAATACCTCCTCGCGAGACACGACAAAGACCCCAAAGCATTGGCTTGACTTTTAAACCTCCCGTATCCCCATCCGATCAGAACTCTACAGGAGATGCTGGGACATGTTGCATCCATATCCCAAAGTTCCCAAATGAATGCAGACTGCTCCATGCCAGACACCAGTGGACACAGGCAGAGGTTCTGTGCCCAAGGAGCAGGAATGACACCTACTCATTATTGGAAAGGCGAGCTGCTGTTTCTGTAGGTGCTTTGAATCAGAGACAATGTGTTGATTAAACCTTTTGTAAAGACTTAAAGCCAAAGCTTGTGGAGTAAGAGCATGCAGCCTCTCTGATGCAACAGTTAAATACAGATTCCTGACAGTGTTCACTGATGATTGTTCTTTCAGGCCCTATTATCACCTGGCATTCATGTGTTTCTGCATCATCAATACAAACATTACCCATTGTCTAATGAGCGTATGTAAAATTAATCATGAGCTGTAGTGTCTGCAAATCAATCCCATTGTGTATCAATTCAAAAAGAAGTGAAAAGGCCGAATCGCTGTAGCTAAATACCTGCTGTCCTTTTGTATTTATATTTTAATATCTTGTATATATTGTTATATGCAGTTCTTCTTTGCAACCCATTTTGGGCCAAACTTATATGCAGTTTTATAACAATGGAAAAATCTTCTGTCTGACAACTTACTGACATTCAATCATTTCTCCAATCGACTGCTTAGTGTGTTTTACAAAAGGAGAAGCAGATGCAGAAACATCATTTAAAATATCCAGTTACTGATATGAGCAGCTTGAAATGTAACTAAGGTAACGTACTGAGCTTATGGTCAGTTAGATGTACGAGCTTTATAAAAACAAGCCGTGTCAGTTAAAGTCTAAAGATGAAGTGTACAACGGCACTTTAATAAATAGATATCCAGAATTAGAATTAATATTTGTATTTACTGCCAAATGTGCTTTACAAGCAGAACCAGGCAAAGAAATAGTTTTTATACTGTAGTTGTAAATTGATGTCTGTGGATAGGAGCTGGGCCAAACCTGGTTAAGCTCTTTTATCAGTCATTTGCTTCACTGGCTCCTGTATTACTGCTATAAAAGGGTCACAAAAGGGTTGTTTGCAATCAGAAACAAAACACGGTGAAATGCGATGGGCAGTGGTGCAATTTTTAAAAGAATTGTTCAAGAAGATGGATGGATGGATACTATCTCAAGTTTGTACACTTTGTTGTCTTGTATAGTCTCTTTAAATTAAAATTCAGCCTAATCTGATTCTATTAATTTATAGAATTTTAAGTATAAAATGTAATATTTTATACTTAAATTGGTTTCAGAAAATGCGGGCTTAATTATGACCACATTAGGTCATTGTAGTCAAATGTCAGATGGGGTTTCCACTGTGACGGGCTGTGTTCTACCACAGGTAGCGAGCTGGGTGGGTCTTTGTGAGTCGTTTTGCAGCACAAAAACTACATTTGTGTCCATACACTTTCCACACAAATTTAATTCTTCTTTTGCAACTGTCCTAATGCACACCCACAGAGACTCACTCTCTTCTTGACTTCCACAGGTAGCTGAAAAAAAAGCCCTGAGGCAGAACAAAGGAGGGTGTCCAGAGAATAGAAATGTCAAATGCAGCGCAGGCAGCCGCCGTTAAGCCCAGAATCGCACTCTTGCATGCACGGCCACTCTCGGCTGCTAAATGCTAAACTAATTGTGATCCATTCCTGCCTGAAATGATTTGGAAACCATTAGAAACAAGTGTTGAAACTCGAAATGGGATTATTTGGGTTGCATCGCACAGCAATTTAAGAGCCAATCAATAGACAATGTGCTTAATCTAACAGATTTCAAGACTCATTGTTCACTGGAGGTCTGGCGAGTGAGACGGAGACAGGACAGAGTAGGACTTGCTGAACTGGAATCACAACATGAAGCCATTTTTAGATTTAATTTTATCTAACTATAAATGTGATGTTATTAGCGTATAGCATTATATTACTGTGTATTCAAAATTATTTGTGTTGAAATGAAAATGTTTACTTTTGTAGCAAAATCATCAGTACTACTAAAATGCAGGATACAGTTATTCACTGTAAAGATGAGCAAATGAAAATGCAGGAATCTAGTGCAGATTTATTTCTTGTAATAATAAAATTTCACAGTATAAAAATTCTGTCTTTATTTTAATCTAAAAGACTTAAACCATGTTGAATCACTGTGCAGAGTTCAAACAGTGAGGTCATAATATTGAAATGTACTGCTTTAAACAAAATGTCCCAACACAAAACTGTAAGAACGCTCACAGCCTTTTACATATGGATTCAAAAAAGACCAGAAATATATTTTATTAACTCACTGGCTCTATTAGAAGCCAAATTTAATAGTTTGGCACACAGATTAGAAATTTTGGGATTTTCTCCCAACACTGCAATTGGATTGGCTCAAGCCTCTTTAAGTTGGACAGAAAACATCTGTGATCAACTACAATTTATCACGGCTAATCTTTCTGTATGATTCAAGCAAGATATCCTCATTCTTGTTTTGTAGCTTTTCCAAAGCTGATTTGGCCGGCCTCTATGCCCCAGGTCGTGTTCTAACACCCAGTCTGAGCTTTTTGGCATTCTCCAGCAGCTTCAGTTCCTTCTTTCCTCTGTTGCCAAAACTCTCCCAGTTCATGCCAAAGAGCTGTCCTGTGTCATGCTATGATGCCGCCGACACTGAAACTTGCAAGTCTATTTTTGATTTCATCTCTCCATAAAATTAGATGAAAATTGTGTTTCCTCTATCTGCCTTTTAACAAACTCTGACTGTTGTCAGTAAATGGTCCTTTATTGAATCTTTCCTGACTGTGTCTACAGTTTGCAGAGAAACCCTCAGTGTATTAATTTCAAAGCCAACTGTGTTCCTACAGACTATGAATATACAGTTTTCAAATGTCTATAGTTTGGGGGTGGGGGTAGAAAGAGACGGGGAAAGGACGTACAATTAGACTTATACTCTGTAATTAGTGCAACAAATGTATGATATTAGTTAAAAACATATATAGTGCATCATCAAAAAGGGAATTCTGGAAATCTTTGATGATTTAAACACCTTCAAACTAGTAATACTTTTTAATAGACTCCAGTAGCCACTACCGTTGAGGACATGTCATGAATTAATTCATGATGCAGAGCACTCATCCAGTATACCATCTTGTATAAGTGGAACTATTATGCCTTTCTACTGTCTAACAGTGCCAAAATCTCAGGCTTCAGACTGCTTTAAAAATTCAAGTTCTAAAGTTGTGGGTTTTTTCTATCTTTGCCTCTTTCTGATGTCATAGAGGATATCCTTTACGATGGTCCTCAGGTACAAAGTTGTGGTTGCGAGCTCAGCAGGCCCTCGGACCAGCTGTTTGTGAGGGGCAGCCAATCGCACAAAAATGGACCTATTTGGAGCTGTAACCTTAAAGGGAGAGGCAATAAACTGAGGTTTCACTAAGGTCCAACACATGATGCATTATTACATTTTTGAACAGTGAATCATGCAAAACTACCCTGCTAGATTATATATATATATATATATATATATATATATGAACCCATTATATATAACGGGTTTTCATGTTACATGTTATTATGGTGACATGGTGGCTTTGTCCTTGAGTTGTCAGCCTGTAGAAAGAACACAGTGTACAGTTCCTCACATCTGAGCCACTCAGCTCAGTTTACAATGCTCTCATTACCCTGAAAATTAATATATTTTGTTTGACATCTGTATTAACAGCAATCCAGCTGAAGAAAGAAACCTAACCTAACCGTACAGAATAACTTTGATAAAAAAGGCTTTTCACCAGAACCCGCAATGGAAATCTGTAAAACCAGTTCACACTTTGTAAAATACTATTCGAAATGTGATGGATCTTAAGCTAGGCAATAGCTCACCTCCATATTCAACATTTCACTGCGACTCTGAGAGATCAACAAGTATGAATTATGCATTTTTAAACTTAAATAGAAAAATGTAAATCTGCGTAAAGTAATCTGGTTTGATTCGAGATAATTGTCAGTGTTGGAAGAAAGTAATTTTTTCCCTGTTGATGTTTTTAATGATCAGATTAACATGCATATCAAAACACTCTTTATAGTTCAGCGTGGATCCTACATTTAATCCTATAAAAAGTGGAAAATCACTGACTGTGTATTTCAGAGCTGGATTCTGGTGGCACACGATATCTTATTGTAGCTGCTCATTCATCCTGATATGCTAATGACACCGTGAATAAGCCAATGGGATTCAATTCCCACAGTCGGTTACTGTAACCAATATTTCTGTCAGCATATCCTGTGAGGACAAATTGGGAGCATGGTATTGACAAAAGCTAATTTGGTGCAAGAGCCCTCAGAGTGGTGGACTTCATTTCTCTGGGGCCCAGCAGGCCAGACCATTTGTCATCATTATCATTAGCAACAGGAACTGACCCATGTGCCTACTGCTAAACCCCAAAATAACTGTGCTGTTCCACGTCCACATATTTTTTTCCTCAACAGTAATAAAACCGTAGACTTATTTAAATGAGAAACAGTATTTATTCTGCCCCTGAGCTGCAAATCTCAGCAGAGAAAGCGACTGCCTATCAGAAAAGCATCCAGCTGTAGGCACTGAGGCATGACTTCATGGACGGACACACACCGCACAACAAGGACAGATCTGGATGGCGCCTGTTAAGAAAGTAAATCCCAAATCACTCGCAGGGGCACGTAAATCTGAACGGGATGGCCCTGATTCACAATCAGCCCGAGGCAGGCGGCTCTTTGCCTGTGAGCAAAGTACAAATCCACCAAACTGTGTGGCCACATCCTCCTCCCCCTCTTGTTCCCCACTAATCCGTTTTCAATCATGCACTTTTTGGATTATGCTTTTCTGTAATTCTTCTCAGGTATTGTTTTATAACTTAATATGATATTTCAATTTGGGTGAGTTGGGTTATGGGTTTAGGACACCGTGCAGGATTGGATAAGCAGCAGAGGTCTGCAGGCAGCAGATTGGAGCGGAGGGTTAGTGCCCGACTGAAAGGAGCACGATAAACGTTTGACACAAAGTCCGAATGGAGCAGGTGCATAATAGTGGTGAGGCTGACCTGATTCAGTCTTTTCCAAACGCATCCCACCCGGTGACGTGAGCCCTGTGTTGGTCCCGACACTTACTCACTGTCTCACCTCCAAAGAGACACATAGATGCTTTACATAGCAAGCTATGACTCCCTGTAATCACTAAAAGGTGATTAAAACTTGAATAATAGTGATTAAAATGAGATTCCCTAAATTTCCTTCCTCAACTTTTTGAATGTTTTATAACCAAACAATATGAACTCACCCAGTCTCCACACAACTCTGAAGGAATGTGGAGATTTGTGATATTTAAAGCAATGCAACAGTGTTGTGTTGAGTTAAACATTAATCAGCTTTGGTACTTTACCCACTGCCATTATTGCATTTAAAAACATTGTAGCGCCTCATGTATTTGTCAGTGGCACAATCTACGACAGCGCTTTCAGTGTCTGTAAATATGAATTGCAGAAAAGTGTGTAAGATGTTTTCATTCTTGTTCATGTTCAGAATACTTCTGCCACTATCTTTCTGACACAATCTGACTGGTTTGTGTCATTTTAAGGATTTTGTATTCTTAATTATTTTTTAGTCTTGTTTTTATTAGTTGCAGTTTTATGTGTCTGCTCTGTCTCGTCAGTTAGCGTTGTTCCACTGTCTCTGTCACATGTAGCGCAAGTCTTTTTGCTTCTGTGTTAACCATTTGCATTTGGTTTGTTTCCTGTTTTACTTTGAAGGTGTGATTTCTTTCACATCTTGTGTTAGTTTTACTTGCTGCTGTGTGATTATCCTGATTGTTTTCACCTGTGTGTAATTTCATTGCACCTGTGTCTCATTCCCCCCTCTTTTGTGCTCCCAACCTGCCCAGTGTGTATAAATAGTCCCTTCTTCCTCTTTGTCCTTGTCAGACTGTTTGTCAGCTGCATTGTTATGTTTCTGTTTGGCCTCCCTGTGCATACCCTCTGTGATCTCCTTGTGCTTCTGGGTTACTGATTATTTAACCCTTTGGTTTACTTTCTGCCCTAGCATGCCCTCTCTTTAACTTTTACTATTACTTGCACTATTCCTGTATTAATAACCTGCCTTCCTCTCCTCCTTCCACCCCATTAACTAACGGACAGACTCTTCTGGATACCGGCAACATTACCGTCCATTCAACAGGTGCAAAAAATTCAATACATCCGTCCCTGGCATCCGCCAGACAGGGATGTGCAAAAACAGCATAACTCATCAATTTACTAATAACCATCATGAAGAAGAAGAAGAGGAAAAGGAAAACAAAACTTAACAGCACATAAGTGAAGTGGTGAGATACTGGAAGAGTGGGCCTCGTGATTATTGGTCTCTTAAGTAAAGAGCCATATATTGAACCCACTGATGGATTTGATGGCACATGGTCATTTTGTCCTTGAATAATAATACTCCTCCACATTCAAACACATCCTCCTTTCATTTCCCTTGCTGACCTTTAGTGCGTCTCGTTCGGCACAGCCTTACCTTAACATGTTAACATACACGGGGTTATCTCTTAGTATTCAGGTACTTTAGCCTTTTATTGGCGAATGGCTTCATTTACAGAATCCCTGTTCAAACCCAGTCTGCGTGAGCTTAGTGTTTTTAGGCCTTGAATAAAAGACAGAATAGGGCTTAACAGTCTGTAGATGAGCTTCAGAAATGTATTGTGAGTCCACATTTTATATGGTGTCTTTGTATTGAGTCAATAAGTGGGAATTTAATGTGCTCTTTGGTAGCTTTCCTCTGCGCTCTCCTCTTTCTTGTCGCTGAGTGAATTAGAAAAAGAGGTTCATGTCAGGCAAGTTGCCCTTGGGCTCACAGAAGAGAGGGAAAAAGAGAGAGGCAGCTGCATGAAGAGCTGTCTTCTCAGCTCAGATGGTCAACGCTGTATCCTTAACCTTTCCACAGTGACACGAGTAAAGTGAGAGATGAATTAATTGACACTGGAACGGTCCCATGAAACAAAATGTTTTGTGGGCCATGTTAGAGTACTGGATTTGATAGGGTTTATTGATTAGTGACTCAACTGGCTTATTGTTGAGATTTCTAGCCTTGAAAACTCTGTTTCTGACTCATATGCTGCCTTGGAAGCCCACTCCCTCAGCTGTAACTGCTAAAGATGCAAGACAAGTGAGCAAATAATGCAATATTCTCCAATTTGAAAAGCAAAAAAAACAACAAAAAAAAAACAGGCAAGAGTTGTTTCACGGCATGCTTCTGTTTGATTTATCAGTTGATTGACTTGCTTAACCCCTCTAGTGTTGCAATATGTTGTCATTCACAGCTTATATAATCCATTGTTCCAGCTCTTTGCATAGCAGTATAAGTTTTACATGTTTGTCTACTCAGACGGTACACCTTTGAGTTTTAACAACGTGACTTTAAGCAAACAAAACACCTCTCTGGAAGCAGCTGCTCGAAATGAAGACTAACAGAATTACTGCCAGCCGTTTTTCCATAGAGCTTTTTTCTTTCTGCCACAAACAGAGTTTTCCCACTAAGTAGCGATGCTCCTGTTTCCAAAGTTTTAATGCTGTCACATATTTAGACAGTGCATTTCCTACTTAAAGCCATATAATTGTAAAAAAAAAAATTAAAAATTAAAAAGAAAATTAAAAATTAAAGAATATGTATATTTCTGTTCATGGTTGCACTCAGTAGAATTAAACTTCAGGTGAAAGCCAGTTGTCAAAGCCTCACCACCTCATTGTGTCTGAGAGCAGTGGGTCTGGCCACTCTGCCGTCTCCGAGGATCTTCTTTTTTTTTTTCTTTCTTTTTTTAAGGGGCCACTCGAGGTATCTCTGTGTCTCTCCTTTTTTTTTAATCTTTCTTTCTTTCTTTTTCTTTTTTTTTAATAACCAAACGATTTAAAGATACAATTACATTCGACTTTGTGGGATTTTCTCCTGGAAAAATCTCCACCTGTGTGTCCAGGTCTAAGTGACGTTGCGTCGGTGCAGGGAGCTCCTCTCCATTCCCCGGGAGCGGCAGAGACAAGCGGGTCGCGGAGTGTGCCGTTCTCGCGCCGTGCTAAGATGTCCCGTTTTAAAGCGGATTTATTTGTCTGCAACAGGCTACATTACCGGCTGCTACCGACGGAATGAACCACCGAAGCCCAAGGTGAGAGGCTCAGGCAGCCGATTTATTTCTTTAATTGATGTCCAGCTGTATGGAGGGGCGCATAAACTTTTGAAGCTTCGCTACGACGCGCGCCAAGTGGGCAACCAAAAGGTGCGTCGTGATAAGAGAAAGTAAGGCGACTATTTTGAGATCACATGCTATTTTTTTTTTTACCTTTCAGGTTCTCTTTGCTGTGCTTTCATTCGGCACCACACTCTCCCGTGCGGAGAGATGCTCTAATAAAAAGCGGTACCTTTTCTGTGGTACATCCAATATGAGATCAGGTGTAGCCTGAATGCCGCTGTCCTACTAAGAAAGTGCTGTTTCACACTTTCTTTGAACAGAAAGATTTATCTTAAAATCTTGCTCCAAATCACTTGTATACGTTGTTTAAAGGACACGTGGATGCGCTGTAGGTGCACAGAACCAAAGCAGGAAGCATTTCCACGAAACGAATCAGCACTGCTGCGTGCCGATATTCCCACTTTAAAGTCAAACTAAAAATTACAATAAGGCTTGGCAGACACTTGTCATCAAATACATTTTTTTTCTCTCAGGCTCTTTGATCGATATTTAAAAAAAGAAGAAAAAAGCCCAACGAACGTTTTCTATGAAGTCTGTGTGTCTGTTCTTTCCTTTTAACCACATCCTTGAACATCACCAGCCTTAACACAGGTTGGTTTCGGGTAGGGGGTGACTAGGGGCCTGTCTTGGCCTTTAGAGACTAGATAGACTGTAGACACTCGTTCAACTGTAAGGCTGTCAAGCTACTGTGAGGTTAACCTGCGCGCCAAGTGTCATGACCCGACTCCTTAACATCCCGTCTTCTCTTGCTCCTTGTGTTAAGGGGTGATAATACAGAACACACTGGGCGCTAACTAAATAATAATAATTATTATTATAGTTTTTTTTTAAAAAGTAGGTTATGAGATCCTTAAATTAATATAAACAACGTAGCTTCTTCACCCACAGATGTTAAACTTCGAATGTTAAACTCTGATAAACAGATTTTTGTATTATTTATATCTAAGTAATCCCACGGACGTATTCACCCACAGTAACTGAGTTTTAAAATTTTAAAATAGACACTTTCAGTGGAGCCTTCGCCCTTATTTTTTCATTTCCATTTTTTTCAGTCTTGGTTATATTATGCTAATCTGTCCCAATTTACACGTATTTGGAATTAAAACAGCCCGTTTAACGAGGCGGGAACAGTGAACGTATGGTACCACTGTTTTTATTTGCGTCAGAGGGATTTTGGAGCAATTAGCACCATTTTGAATAGTTACAACACACATTAAATTCGCTTTACTAGAACTATAGCTAATAAATCTAATTATAAATAAGATCCTGGCATTTCAACACGTTCACACTTCACAATGGCTTTGCATGTGAAATCAAAAGCACAAATATTGGTTTTTTCTTCTATTTTTTTCCTCTCACATGCTCGGATGGCTGTTAAGTAGTAATCACCAAGAGTATGATCCCCCCCTCTATTTTGCCCGGATGCAATCATTCCTTTGAGACTATATTCACGCCCACATTTGTTGGATAATTTAACTCGATCAGCCGACTCGTGTGAACTCAACCAAACAAGGTTCAACTACAGACAATCCCCCTCCCTTCTGAGTTTCTAACGGGTCCCGAAAGAGGATTGTGCGTGTTGATGTCTGTGAAGAAGGGGTGTGGGTGGGGGGTGGAGGAGTATGTCGAAGTGGAGAAGGGCTGGAGGGGTGTGGAGAAAAACCATAGGTATGCGTGTGTGTGGGGGGGAAACACGCTGAGTGTGCGTCTCATCTAATAGAGCCTCGGAGCGCATTATCTTCCCCGTCATCTCCGTCTGTGCGGTTGGTGCTGCGCCTTGCTGGGGAAACGGCCAGGAGAAGATGCGTTGATGCGAGCGGATATTCTCAGCAGCCGAGACTAATTGTCTGTGATTCATGTCCCTGTTGAGTGGCTGAAACCTATTCATAGCCAGGGAGAAGGAGAGAAAGGGGAGAGTGGGGACGGGATCCGCGCAGAGATCCGCTCTCAGCAGTCTTTGGAAATATAGGAAGCAGATCGCAGAGAGGAGGAAAGCGCGCCAGCAGGTCAAAGTTTCTTTCGCGGTACTGTGTGTGTGTGCGTTTGTGTGTATGGGATGGGGTGGGGGGTTCCCTTTTCCGTGGACATCATTGTGCTTCAGGTTTGACACCGTGATGGAATGACACCAGAAAAGAGGATGATGGACACTTTGGCACCGGAGTCTTGCTCAGAGATCCCCCGCGTTTCCAGCAGGCGCGGTGCTGACCGAGCCCTCAGGACGGTGATCAGTCATTTGTTTTGAAGTGGCAGGAAAATCCTCCTCTTGATTGAAACAAGAGCGAGAGATGGTGCGCGCAGCGATTCCTCGGAGACTGACGTGCGTACTCATCACGTTCCCGTTAAGGAGCGCGTCTTAAAGAGCTTCATTCTTCGTTCATGTTCATTCTGCTGCTCTGAACTTGTTGAGCGGCGTTAAAGAGCAGCGGGACTCCCAGAGAGGCACTCAAAGAAATGTGAGTTTTCCATTTGCTTGTGAAGTTTACTTTTTCTTTTGTGCGTTGAGGAATAATTTTTACACTCCGGTTAATAAATTCTAACATTGCTGGAAGTTGGTGAGTCTGGTTTATATGCATTTATCTCCAGCAATAAACAGCTAAGGATGGGGCAGGCAGCTGTTGGGCTTTGGTTTCTGGACAGCTTGACAAAGTTTAAAGCAAAGAAGACGTGTTAACATGTAGAAATAAGGTGCCCTTGAATTCATCCAAAAACATGACACAATTTCCTCAGGTCATCTTTTAGAGGCGCCCCCTTGTGGAACTTATTACAACGTCCTTGCTTCACTGCCATGTATAATTATATTAGTGTCACGCTGCAAGCAGTTACTCCACCTTTAATGCATCCTTGTGTTGTCTCTTGCATTTAGAAGCTTTTTTGGTATATTTGGTTTAGGTGTTGGTCACTTTTTGCACATTTGGTAGCTCCTGGTGTGATTTAAAGATGCTTCCTAGCCCAATGAGTGACACCAGGTCTGTCACAAAGCAGTATGTGGCAGTAAATAATAGTTATAATCTTCAAGACTAGAATGGCTTCACCTTGAATTAGTCTAAAAAAAAACCCTTGCTGTTTTAAGCAGATGCCTTTAAACATTATCATTAAACATGAGCGCTCTTTGGTTCAGGCTCCATCCAAATTCTGACTGGAGGATCACAGTGTGCATTGGAGGGTTTCTGGATTTAGTTTACACTTCATACACAGCATCAGCTACACTTGTTTTTGGCATAAATGAGTGACTGATATCAGATTTGAAGTCACTTTGTGCTTTATGTGCTTTGTCATTTATATCTAATGCTATCAAAAACTCGTAGGTAACACTGAGCCATCATTTGTGTGCTCCAAGCGTCTGTCGCTTTAAACTGTGTGACTATTCCAACCTTTTCACAATACTGTCAGCTTGAGAGAGCTACCTGGGTGAGCACATTCTTCAGAGCTAAAGTGGACATTTTGAGCATCGAGACATGTCACTGTGGTTGCAGAATAATGTGCTAGCAGCCTTTTTAGGAAAAGTGTCTTTAATAATGCATAAGGTGTTCCTGTGTCGCAAAGAGAAGCATGCTCGGTGGCGAGGGGAAGCAGAGAAAAGGAGGAGGGAGGGAGGGAGGGAGCAAGTAGGAGTGATCTTGTCTCACTGTCTCATCGGGTGCCCCACGCGCTGCTCTATATGTGCAGCTGGAGTAACTGACGCCCGAGGGCGTTCAGCTCGACTTGGGTCAGCATCGCCACAGTCACCCTGTCAAAAGTGCTGCTCCCGCACACACAGAGCACACAAGGCAGCTTGAGCAGCTCAGAGGAAGGGGTGGGGGTGGATGGAAAGAGGGAGTGATGGAGGACGGTGGCGGATACAGCTGGTGGAGGCAAGTGAAGCACGTCTTCTTTGGCCGTCAGGGATTTGTGTGCCTTCAGAGGCCTGACCTGTCTGGCTCCAGTAGATGCTTGATTCAAAGACAGACTGCAGCCACATCCTGTTTAAGGAATGATTACCTTAGAGTTCCAGCATGGCTTTTTGATAGCCAGCACTATCCAGTTTTCACTGCCTATTATCTTGTCCATTTTTCACTTTTTTTATCCTGAGGGTGGGAAAGCTTCTCGGAGAAGAGCAACTGAAATTCTTAACGAATGAACATCAGGTTGACAGAACTCGTGGCTCTGTTCTTTTATTGCATCTGGTTCCGTCAGACATTTATCACACCAGGAGAGGAAAACAAGGGCCAGTGCAAGCCCAGTTAACAAAAACAGGCAAATTATTTGTCTAACCCCGCAGCGGAGCTTTAACTCTGAGCTCTTGTGAGTCAGCCCACTCATCTCCACCACACAGTCTCTTCATAGCTTTCAGCACTCCACCCATTTGCTACCTGTCATCATTATTAAAAGATCATAAGCCTGCCAATTGAAGGTGGCGACATTTTCAGAAGTGGAAAAAAAGTGCTAAGTGATGGACTGAGTCGCAGGCAAGCTCACTCGCATTATAGGCGTGCTCACATGAGCGCTGGTTGTCATGTTTTCAGGGCCATGCTCCACTCTCCGTATGTTTATTCATGAGGACAGCGGCCCTATTGGCAGGTTGTTAACAGGCAAGATTAGGGATTCTGAAAAAAAGCAGGCAGAGAAATCTGGTGAGCGGCGCACAGAGAGCAGGCAGGAGGGTTTTTTCTTTCCTGAAGCCTAGCCAGCTTCTATCTTTATCTATCTTTCATCTGTTTCCGACTGTCTGCCATCCTGTCTTTCTCCCCTTCTCACTCCTGCGTTCTTGTTTCTCTTATAGTAAGACACTGGTAGGGAATATGAAACAGGTGGAGTCAGAAAAGATGAAAGCAGGTAGCGACAGGACAGAAGCAGGGTCAGAAATTGCCCTTGAAAGTGCATAAAATGTGTGAAATTAAAAATGAAAGGCAGGAAAATAGCTCAAATATCAGCTGTAAGCTCGTAATTTTTCCACCGCACCCTGTCCTGAGTGCACCCTTTAGAGCTAAAGTGGACACTTTTTACATTTTGGGACATTATTACTCATCAAATTGCTTTATAATGTGGCAGGTGTGTAAGTACTGCCCCCTGTGGGCCATTGTAGATGGTTTGGAAGCGATTATGACCTGATAGTTCTTTTTGGTTGGGTGACAAAATGGCCTCTTTTGTTCACAGGCAGACTAAAAAAAATAAAAGAAATGCTGCCCGAAGCAGTGGAGAATGTTGGCAGTCAATCGCAGGAGGAAATGCTGAACCCACACAAACCACTGGTCAACAGAAATGAATTTTCAATATAAACAGAAATTAGAAAGCGGAAGAATGGGGAATTAAAGTGGGACAGAAGCACTGGATTTAGATTCAGACGTACACATTTAGGGCTAGAGTGAGAAAAAAGGAAGAACTACAAACTGATAAAGAGTCGTCCTTTCATTAGTTTATTTGACAATGTGCATGGTTTACAAGTTACTCCCGCTAGTAGTGAAGTGCAGCTCTGGGGACATGCACGTAACTTTTTCCTTGTGATGAGGATAAACAGTCAGTGCTCATGTGCTCCTCTGGGATGAAATGGAAGAGGACGCAGAGGGCCGTTTCTCAGCCCCAGAGAGAGGTGTTCAGTTGGGTGAAAAGGCTGCTTTTGATGGGTGGTGACCTCACCAACCGAACAACCCCATCCCAGTTCTACGGGGCCTTGTGAAAGATTCATGTGCCTAAATATAAAAGCTTGCAGGTTGCAGCACTGGCGGGTTGATGTCTACAGTCCCCTGATGTTTCAGACAGGCTGTGAGGAATTGCTCTACTGTATGTGGTTTATGACACTGCCTGAACAAGGCTCTTGAATACGTTGCTATTTTCCCCGGAGTGACTAACACTTTTTGTTTCTAAGATTTTTTTTTAATCACACTCACATTTCTGTAAAGACCTTTAATAGAAGTTAAAGCTGCTTTTTATTTCCTCTGCCCCACCTTAAAATCACTGCTTTAACGTCTTGAAGTAATTTTTCTTTACAATCCAGTAGTAAGCATCTGTTGTTCTCCAGGCTCTGTGTTCAGCCCATTCAGGTTGACATATAGTAACTGTGCATTAAAGCACCAACACCTTAAATATGTTTAATTTCATCGGGTTTGTGTCATTATGGAAACAACTGAGTGGAGACACAGCGCAGGGATTTATTTGGACAAAGCAAATCCTCACATATAACATTTTGGTGAAAACTTTTGCAGTAAATGATGGCCTGAAGTCTTTGTCTCGCAGATATCAGCAGATGCTTGATGCTCTCTCCGGGCTTCACTGTAATCTCCTTGAGCTCGTGGGTTCTGTGGGGTGTCTGCTCTCAGCCAGTGGAGGAAATACCTCGTCTTTACTTTAAAATGTTCTTTGGTTGTTTAGGAAAACAGTCTTGCTGGATGATGACAAATTTTCCAGTTAGGTTTAACCCATCAGTTGAATTTGTGCACCTCTGCATCGTGTCATGTGTGAAACAATCAGTTCCACCGGAAGCATTTTAAGACAAAATAGCTGCAACTTCCATGTTTGATGCTCTGGGTGGAGCTGCTTATTTTTTTAGTTTTCCTGTCTTTCTTCTTTCTACGTTTAGACAAAACTTGCTCCCTCATTTCATACGCTTGTGCTCCAAAACTTTCTTTTTGGATGTTTATGTGAGCTGCAGGTGGCCTTTCTGCTTTTGAGGCTTACCGTGGTTTTGCATCTTGCAGCAGGTCCTCTGAGCATCTGCAAGAAGTCTTCTCTTGATTGTTGACACTGCAACCTGTGCACACACATGCTGGAGTACCTTCTTGACTAACTGCACAGTCATAAAGGGTTTTTCTTCAGCATGCAAATTAAGATCTGTTCAGCTCCCAGACTTGTGCTCTCCAGTCTACTGGGGTCTTTGCGTCATTCTCCCGTACAAATCTGCTTTTCAGAAAATGAAAACTTCTTTAAATCCTTATGTAAGATTTTTGAGACTTATTATTTTGCACGGTCTGCCCTAAACCCCTCATGTTCACTAAAAAGTCTACCTTCAGTCTAAATGGCAACTCCACTCCGACCCACACAGTAGGTCTTTTGCACATACAGTCATATCGAAACAACGTCCCTGCTGAAGAAACAAAGAAACAGTTATTTTAACTTAACAAAACAGAGCAGAAGCAAAATAATGTATGGCTGTATGTGTAAAAATCTTAATAATTCAATTTCTCAATCTAATGTTCATGTTTTTAAGCTTGCTGCTATTCAAAACGTGCTCCATTTGTCACTGCTTTACTAGGATGTTTGGCCTTCACTATATTTCACAGTGCGTGCGTGTGTGCGTGTGTGTGTGTGTGCTGTTTATATTTTTACCTTTTGAAAGTTTCTTTATGCTCATTTCAACTCAGTTTAACCCATTTATGTTGATGCTGGAATTTGATCAATTCTTTCACACTGATGAAAAGTGCGAGGCTACAGTGGCAGGGTTTCTTAACTTTAAAAAAGCAAAAGCACTCGTGGAAATATG